TTTGGGGGGCAACAACTACGATGGCTACTGTTTCTTCCTCACATTAAAGCAGATCAAAGGTCTGGCTTTGTACTTTGAGTTGTGCGTTTGAAGCAAAAAAAAAAGAATAAAAACTCTAAAAAGCATTTTTGTACTATTTAAAAACTACAAAGATTTCTTTTCCATTTCCTGCCTGCAAGCTTGTGCACTGTGCCTGTGTGTCAATAGATTGTCTTGTCATCAGTTTCTATGATAATCTGCATAGCTTTGTCGTGAGAGATTTAGCCTATTCTTTTTATTTAATATATTGTATTATTAGAAGAAAAGTACGATAAATGGACTAATGTGGTCATTATAACACGTGTAGTGTATGAAACTGTCCGTCTCTGGTCGCAGCACTATATATTGCCAGCTAAAGTGAAGGAAGGTGTTTTGAGCCTTGGCATGAATTCAGTCAGTACTTTATAACGTATAACTACAAGGCAGATAGACGTGCCCATGTTTGTTTGGGGGAAATAGTTCTCATATTGATTTAATGAGTGTTACCTTTGGGGCTTGTTCTGGCATTACTACACATTATTTTTTATTTATCTCCCCCAGTTGTTATTCAAGTGTTCTGTAATGTGGTCTTTGAATTTTCTTTTTTTTTTTAGTTTTTGTCTTTTGTACAAAAATCACTCACCATGAGCAACTGCTTGACAAGTTCAGGATGAACATTGGCAGGAAGCAGGGTGGTCCCACTTGAAACAGGAGGTCAGACTTTTTTCTTTTTTTTTTAAAAAAAAGCATTAGATAATGGATATAAAGAGATATGAATACAGATCTTAAGTCTATAAGAATATAGAGCTATATTCACCTTCCACTGCTGTTACTGACCACCTTGCTCCCTCGTCACTGTACGCTCCTTTTGGTTTTATTGGGTCAAACTCAGAAAATATCTGTTGTGTACAGTCTGAGTGCTAACCCATTTACAAAATAAAAAATGGTTTCCGAATCTAATTTTGTCCTGGCCCATTTTGTCATTAGTTTCAATTACTTTTCCTTTTTCTTTTTTTTTTTTTAAGGGATTGAAACCATGTAGTGAGGTATTTTGAACACTAGAGGGCAGTAAACACCTATTTGTGGACCCCCTTTTGTTTTCGCCATGTCATGGACACACACAGGACTATTTACAGAAAGGTTACAGTGCAAACAGGTTATGTTGGGGCTGGAAAATTCCCCGAGCTACTTGTTCAGATAGATGGGGGGCGCAAATAAACACGTGTTACATAATGCATGTTTGTGCGGGAGTAAAGTTAATACTTCCAGGCTAGGATGTCAAAATACTATGTACCAGTGTGGGCTTGATATTTTCAGCTGTGGTATTCCTCCCCTCGGTACCTCTAATGTGACATGTACCCGCAAACCGGTGCTGTGTCAACAGAGTGTCAACAACCAGTGACCCGGCATGGCATCCTGTTTCACTCCCCACACTGCCCGACTGTCCACTCTTACCTAATGTCATTTTATTTTCTCGACTGTCCTGTGGAATACAAACTGGTTTGATCTTTGTATCCAGTCTGCATTCACCAGTTTTTACCTTCTTGTTCCAGGACACCAAACTGGTCCTAACCTGGTGAGCGTCTCAGTAGTTGAGATGCCCTGTAGATGTCTCTGATTGCAGCCTTGATGGAGAGACGAGGAGCAGAGGGCGATCATTCAGAGCCGTGACGTCGCCCCGCCGATGTCTTGCAGCCAGTCAAGTCAGCAGCAGGCAGCCGTGATGATACAGGAAGTTAGGTGATGTGGCTTTCAAAGTAAAAGGGAGAATTGGCTTAGCAGTGCAACCAGTATTGAATCTGTGGCAATTGTGCAAAAGTTTCTACTTTCATCCAGAGCTGTAGCTACCACCAGACATGGGTAACTTCCTTTGTATTTAACTGGGAATATAGGGAAAGAGTAGTGAAAGAATGTCGGTCATTCTTTTAAGTGAAAGTATATATTCCAGAAATACAAAATAAATCCTATTACATGCATTCAAAATGTTATTAAAGTAAAATTAGCACACCAGTATTATCAGTGGTATTGGAGTAACTGGTGACATGTTATTAAATTTTTAAAAAGTAAATCAATATTGTGTGTAATTAAATTATGGTTACTAATCTTAATATTGGCAATTACAAAGGGGTTACATCAGAATATGTTTTTTCAGATCTGGGATACTCAACTGTCTGTGCCCAGGGGCCACCTTTGCAAAATGACCGACATGACAGAGATAATTAGCCCAGACCAGGGGATCCTCTCCTGACATGTTTTTATGAGCGAGCTCTACTTTGATATTTCTCATGCTGTCTGCCACCTTATTTACATTTGAAGTACAGATAAAAATCCCCAAATTGCAAAATTTTTATTGTGAATTAGAAAATGGTAGGCAGGCCACCTGGCACCATACTGCAGGCCAGATTTGGCCCGAGGGTCACAAGTAGAGTATCACTGTCCTAGATCAAAAAGTAAAATGTAGAATAAAACATTCATTCTGTTGCTTTGCATCTTTGGCATAAGCTGTTTCCAGACATTTTTCAACTTTATTGCACAGTTTAAAACATTTTTGTTTGAGAAATATTCAAATGCAATAAGTTACATTACTGTGATAAAGTAATTAAAATGATTACATTACTTATTACATTTTAACAGGGTAACTAGTAATCTGTAACCTATTATATTTCAAAATACCTTCCTAACAGATTATTAGATGATAAGGTATCAATAATATATGTAGTCATTATACAGGAAAGGACTACAGGTTAAATTATAATATTATTGGTTCAGTAGTACTATTTGTTCTTTGGATTAATTTATACTCAATGGATAATATGTCATATACATACAGCCTATATGTGTTATATTAATCTGTAAAGTAACAACTACAGCTGTTAAATTAATGCAGTGAATTAACCATGTACTATAAAAGGTGTAGTCAAGTATAAGTATCTCAGAATGGAGTAAATGTGTTCAGTTACATTCACTATTGCATTCTATTATATCAAAACTTACACATGATGTGTGTTTTATAAAATAAGAAAGAAAGAAAGAAAGAAAGAAAGAAAGAAAGAAATAATGCAGTGTTTTACCCACCAGGATTTGATTCTCATGTGAAGAAACTAAATTACAACAGTCGTTAACAGATATCTGAAAAATGTTTGAGACTGAAGGGGGGAGGGGTGAATTGTTGTGCACTGACATTCTTGACCTCAGTTGACCACATAGGTCTTAAAGCACTGGGTCAGCAGGATGCCTCTGCAGGATGTTCCTTACATCTGAACTATGAGCATTTTGTTTATCTGGCAATCACTTGTTGACATGTGCAAAATTAAAATGATTGCAACAGAATAACACCTGTTTACAGCATTTTAGTATCCTCCAGTCAGACACAACTTTGAGTTATGTCACTCTTGCTCCCCTCCCCCCACGTTCACAGCATTGCTTGCACACTAAAGAACCCCCCCCCCTTTTAAGCTGACTCTCAGGACAAAGTGTGTTTCCCAAGTGTGTCTCTAAACATTTTCCTTCCCTGTGTTTTCTACATAGATTATGTGACAGACAGTGTTAACAGAGTAAGTATATAAGTTAAACTGAAATTCCTCTCATTATCAAAGTTGAATTTTGTATGCAAATGCAGATAAGCAACGCAGCATATTCAGTATGAGTTAAAAACTGGACAGGAAACATTTGTCTTTAGAAATCCTCCACTGAGACAATACCTCTCTTGCTATGTGATGACCATATAATGCATGTTTTACGATTTGTGCTGCTTACAAGAAATGTCTTAAATGAAGGTTGCTGTCAGCCTAATTGCTAAAAATGTGCACTTTTTTACAGATTGTGTCCTTAAAATCAGGGAAATTATAAATACTGTTGCAAATGCCATGTGAACTACCCTATTTGTGCAAGAACACCTCCAGTGTTATATTGTACCAAGATAAGGGACATCACCACCAAAGTTTACACCAAAAGTTTTGCATCTCCTCTAGTTATTTCCAACAGCTACAAAACATCATCATGCAATTAATCTTAATGACGAACACCACTGTGCCTCAAATGTCTATCTTATTTTAATTTGATAGTCTACAATCTAACTATATGAAGTGCTTGCCAACCAAATAAGTGTTTTTGATACCTTAAATTATGAAAATTCATTGCAACAGGTTATTTTGAAACATTACAGGTGCAGGTTTCTCGGCACTTTGAACACAAACAGATGCCTGTCTCAGTGGAAACCTGTGGAAATGTGACAATGTGATGTTCCCCCCTGAGCTCTAGTCTATATATATGCAGAAATGGCATGTGCAGTTCCACAGTTTCAAGATTTCCCAAAAGGACTATTTTCCTTGATTTGACCCACAATGGTGGATCTAAAAATCCATTTATTTAGATTCACGGTCAATGTACAAAAATTTGTAGCGCTTGTACAAAAGTATGAAAATTCTTAAAAACTTTGAATTTTGCAAATTTGGAGTCACATTAGGAAAAGTCATTAAATTTCAGGCTCAAATTGTGGCATTTAGGGTGTTTTTACTGCTGTCAAATGTCAAAACAGGTCCATTTTGACCAAAACAGTGTGGTTATCTCATCAGTTATTCATTATTTTGTTATTGCTATTGCAAGTTATAACAAGGATGCAATTTTTTTTAACACTGAGGGGGTTGGGAGTCCTCTGCCTGAAAACTCTGAGCATAAAACACTTAATTTCCTGCAGTCTTGGGAATTTCTATGCACTGATTTTTGTCTTTTCTGCATCATTTTATGGTGTTCATGTCTCTAATTTTGTCAAAATAATAGCCTAGTTATCTGATACGTTTATATTTTGGGGGGTGGAGACAAATGCACATGTGCCAGATACTGGGGGGGATGTGTCCCCTGTGTCCCCCAAATCTACAGCTTTATAATCAGACATTTCAACACGTGGTTCTCCAGACAGGTTTTATTTTGAAAGTTCCACTCGGAAGTGTTGTCTTCCCCCTGCTGGTTTGACTGTCGTGGCTGGGTGATGATTTGCTTACTTGGAGCAGGACTGAGTTTGGAGCGGGTACTGTGAAATGTGTAACCATGATGTTGCCTGGGTAATCAGCGGAGGACGTTAGGAGACAGAGGTAAGAACAACTGTGACAGCCGACACTTTTACTGTTTCTCATGATATTTTCTGTGGGATTCAGCTCCGGTGAACTACTTTCCAGTCTCACACTAATTTTAACAATTAATATTGATAATAATGGCAGTTTTGTGGCGGGTTGTTCTAATATCGTTTCACAGCAGACATGTGGGAATGGACTCTAAGTTTGGCCGCAGTCTGATTTAGGATTTTACAAACTTGATCACGCTCAGACTGAGCCGCAGACTGTTCGACATATCATTGGACTATTTCGGAGCAATTGGGGTCTTTTATTTTCCGGACAACACGCGCTTCCTCAAACACCGTGCAGACAGTAAATAAGCGCGTGCAGAGGGTTAATTTGTCGCAATGTGTTTGGATAATAAAGGTGGATTTGTGCGTCTGCACCTGATGCGCTCTGATGTTGCGGTTAGTTGAGGATGCAGCCTGTCAGCATCACTCGAGGTGCTGCTGAGTGGTCCGACAATAATCATCATACACAGTCCAATCATCACTCACACTGTCATTTGGGGATTTTAATGTGCTGGAAAAAAGGCATGCCCCCGTGTCAGGACTGCGCTTCATTTTCACGCTTTCGTCAATTTGATAGTTTTATAACTTATTCAGGGCTTTTTAACAGAGCGCCTTAATTGTCTTTAACACATCTAATCATGGACGTGTGCAGCCTAAATGAACTAATCAGCCCTTGAAGGCGTTTGTTAATAGCGGGCCTACCTGTTGAGGGCACGGATGTGTGTGTGTGAGGAGCTTGATAAATTGAACCGTCACCTCTCAGTATGCAGACGTTATTACAGCGACGTGACCGCTCTCAACGAGACCTCAGACTAATCACCTGCAATAGAAACTGTTGCTTTGTGCTTATCGACCTGTTGTCTGCTTTTGCTTCTTAATTAAAATAAATAAACATGTAGGGTGCATGAAATAAACCCCCTGAAAAGATCTAGTGGGGGGTTATATTTCACAGAATAAATCTGATTTGATGTTTTTGATTTATGTTATTTAAAAATATTCCTATTGATTGATCATGGATGAGAGTGTACACTGGAGTATAATTAACTGCCTTTTACATCATTGTGAGCCAGACGGGCACTAATGATCCTCTCCCCTCCCCCCTCCCCCCTCCACCCTCCACCCAAGCCACAGACCCTACAACCAGCTGAAGGCAAGGGAAGCAGGCAGGACAGCCACACCTCATGCGCGGGCTCAGCAAAGGTCCGAGTGGATACGGGTCAGACAAACATGGGTGTGCTCCAGCTCCACAACCCCACTCACCCCAGCACTCTTCTGCAGCGGGCCAATCAGATGCGTCTGACCGGCACCTTATGTGATGTCATCATCACAGTGGACGGCCAGGAGTTCCCAGCTCACCGCACCGTCCTGGCCTGCACCAGCAAAATGTTCGAGATCTTGTTCCACCGCAGCAGCTTACGCTATGCCCTGGACTTCCTGTCCCCCAAGACCTTCCAGCAGATCCTAGAGTACGCCTACACTGCCTCGCTCCAGGCCACAGCTGAGGACCTGGATGACCTGCTGTATGCCGCTGAGATCCTGGAGATAGAGTACCTGGAGGAGCAGTGCCTGAAGGTGCTGGAGACCATCCAGGCGGAGGAGACAGAGGAGGTGACAGTGAGGAACCACAGCTCCGGAGACCACAGTGACCACAGTCGGGCCAGGCACTGGAGGCACATGTTGATGTCCAAGAAGCATTCCATACAGGACGGACCCAACCGCATCACTCCCACTGCTCTGCACCACCTGGCACTGTACCACATGACGGAGGGGAGCTCTCCTGGCCCAGAGACTGAGGCAGCTCCTGAATTGAGCCCCAAGGTGGACACGGAGGTCAACATGGAAAGTTCCCAACAGCCTCAGCACCACAGTGAAGAGCTATCCCAGGCTTCATCCCTGACTCCTGGCAGAAGTATAAAATCAGAGAGCATGCAGGTGGATGATGCCAACGGCTGCGAGGGCAGGTCCTCGAGCACCAGGGAGGGAAGCTGCATGTCAGACCAGCCCAGAGACGAGGGCCCGGGGACGCCCCTCAGAAGCAGCGTGATCACCAGTGCTCGAGAACTGCACACAAGCCCCGAAGACGGAGGACAAGTGGTGGGGAACTCTCTCGACTCTGTCCCGGGCATCTCCGAGAAACATCTGGCTTCCATATACTCTGTGCCCTCCAACCACACAGGGGAGGGGATGCTGCCGGTGTCAGTTTCAGTGGCCCCGTCCCTGGGCGTGCCGCTGGACCCGAGGGCCTACAGTGGCCTGCTGCACCAAGGCTTGCTGCACAGGGAGCTCCTCAGCAGGCTGGGCCAGTTTGCAGCGGGGATGAGGCATGAGGGCCAGGCTCAAGGCCAGCAGTGTTGTGGCGAGTGTGGGCTTCAGCTGCACAGCAGGCAGGCCATGGAGCAGCACAGGTAACACGCACAAACATCTGTCGACACCACCTTTCCTGCAGCATTACAGTATATTTTAAGTCTCTGATACCATCTTAAGTAAAGGATAATTACACAGAATTAAAAAAAAATATCCACTTGGGGTCCAAAATCTAATAATCACTTGTTAAAATAAAAAGAAAGACTGCACTGTTGTCGTCTCGGTGACATTTTCCATAACACTGCTACACTCCCTGCTCGACATTTTTACTGACAAACGTGTGTTGCGTCTAATAAAAGATGTGAGGGATGTGCAGGTGCATGTGTGCTTGTGCGGTATGATGAATGTGAGCTAAGTAGTTGATTATGCTGTTTGGAAAAGCACTGCCCACGTGTCTCTTGAACTGAACTGTGTCTTGGTCCTCAGGATTCCTTTTTTCCCCCCCGTCATTTTAAAATACTTTGAGAGTTAAAAGCTGGAAGGAGCAACAGCAAATATGTTAATTTATTCTCAGGGACACCTGCACTCATGTCTTAACAGTGAGACGTCTGGGGAAGTTTTGAATCGGGTCTTTGTGAGGGATTTGATATAAAGAGGCCTTGGTGTCGCATAACGCTGTTATTTACAAAGCCTTATTTTCTAAATTCTGTTTGATTATTTGTGCAGAAGCGTGCCTCACACAACAGGCTGTCTCCCAGGCTATTTGATATGCATTCCTTTGCATCAGTAGAGAGGAGCCTCTCAGCAGGGACCAAGCTGGACGCTTCAGCTAGATGATGGATAACTTCTGCCTCACGACCCACTCTGTTGTGTTTTTGTTTATTCCTTCTTTATTTACCAGCTCGTCAGTTTAGATCTTGTCATCGTACACAGAAAGTTACCGACTAGCTCACTGACAACTCTCATTAACTTGATTGCAGATGTTAATAATTGTGCGTGCTTGGCAGTGTTTGACTCATCACTAATCATTAGAAACGAGCCTATCTGTGAGCCAAAAGTCCTAATATGCAGCTAAGTCATGATTAGGATCACAGTCTCTCCCTGTCCGCGCCCGTGGCTGACATTTCAGCCTCGTGCCACTCCAGAGTTGTGTGGAAACCGCCTGGCGAACCAGAGTGTCCTGTGGGATATTTAATGATACGCGTTGCTTACTGATGGAGACAGGCGGATGTCCGCAGGTTGAAGAAGGTGCATCGGTGGCACTGCTTTGGGATGTGATGAAGCTTCTGTAGGTCTGTAACCAGGTCACTGAGCATACACCTGGTCTGCAGATTGACATTTTGGACTTTTGTTGTAAAAGAAGTTTCTCCTGGCACAGCTTCAACTATAGAAATTAAACAGATTTGGTTTCCAACTTTTGCTTAAGGAAGGAAAAAACTGCATTCAAAAATGTGATAATGCAGTATTTCTTTAAAGGTGATGTCGTCGTAACAAAATGAAAACTACTGTATTTAAGGTATTTTTAAAGGTCACCGACACCTTTCCTATTAAAACGAAGAACATGGATATTTTACGCCTGGGCAGTATATCATTTTGATAGAATGTTATATCGTCTTAGATTTTGGATATCATAATATATGTGTTGTCTTATCTGGTTTTAAAGGCGGCATTACAGTTAAATGATGTAATTTTCTGAACTTACCAGACTGTTCTGGCTGTTCTGTTATTTGCCTTTACCCACTTAGTCATTATATCCACATTACTGATATTAATAACAAAGTATTTGGTCCATAATACTGTGATATTTGAATTTTTCAGTGTCTCCCAGCCTTAGGATATTTGGCACATATGAACACAACTCCTGTTTTCAGACCTCTTAAATTAATTAACTTAAAATTAACTGTTGTCATTGTTTCTTTTTTTAAAATATTAAAATATCATCATTATATTATAATGGCATTTTTGCCTTTTTTTTATTCATGTTTGGGTGCTTTAGGTCTTTATTATAGTGGCGAGCAGACAGTAAATGAGGGGAGGGAGATGAGGAATGACATGCAACAAATGTGCCCAGCTGGTCTCGAACTGAGAACATTGTGATTACATGATCAGTGCCATAGGTGTCGATTTCAGGGTCAATGCAGGGGAAACATCCTCCCTCAATATATAGAACATGTGCATTTGTCCCCCACCCAAAAAAACCTGAGAGAAGCAATGGAGTTTTATTTTGCGAAATTAAAGACATCAAAAAACTGATGCATAAAAAATTCACAAGAATGCAGAAAATTAAGTGTTTGATGCTCAAAACCCCCAAAACACTCATTTCATATGTGTCCCCCCAGTGTTGAAATTGAATTCACGCCCTTGATCAGCACCATAAACCCGTACACCACCAGGGCGCTCTGTCTTTTTGCCCTTTAATAAATCATTAACAGTAGACAGAAAAGATAATATATACATCTTGGTTACATGGTTGACGCCTCAGACTAGAGGGCCGTCAGCACAGCCAAAATAAAGTCTCACATGACAGTAAAATATTGTCTTTCAGTTAAATCTTTCAACTTGCAGTAAAAAGCCAAAAACCAATCAGTGCTCTGAGCATGTGGCTCCACAATTATTATTTTTTCCATAATATGTTATTGTTGATTTCATGCGTGCTAAGTTTCATCTAAAGACTCGTTTATTTTGACCACAGTGTGTGTTTAATGGTGGAGTCTTTTTAGGCTGTTAGCGGGGTGATATAAGGATAACAGTACAGATGCCTTGCATGCTTGGATGTGTGTGATATGATATGATAGGTTTTGCTGCTGGCGGAGCTTCAGCGAATCATCGTCTTTTCTCCTTTTCATTGCTGTTACAAGAGAAGTGTGTGTGTGCGCATGTTATGCTGTGGTGTGAGTTCACGTGCGTGCGCCTGGTGTGTGTGTGTGTGTGTGTGTGTGTGTGTGTGTGTGTGTGTGTTCTTGTGTGCGTGCCCAGTGTCTTGCAGTGCTGGCGGGTGGAGGCACGCGTATGTCTGCACTCTGAAATTAGCCAGATATCCTATTGTCTGTGTTCTTTTAGCATTCATGCGTTGTGATTCACAACTCCAAGGGCCTCTTACACTAATGATGTTGCATTCAGCGAGGGATTCTTGCCGGAATTAAAACATGCTCCTCTTGTTACGAGGACAATGATGCTTCTGGGTTTGGGAGACCTTACAGAAATAAAAAAAGGCGCAGAACCGAGATACTTTTATTATCACAAGTGCGTTCCCGTCTCTGTTCTCGTCTCTGTTAACACGCTCGCATTTGTGTTTGTCTTTCCACAGGAGGCTGCATAACGAGGAGAAAGGCCACGGCTGTGAATACTGTGGCAAACACTTCCAGGACAGCATGCGGCTAAGGATGCACATGCTGTCTCACACAGGTACTTAGTAACTCTCACACTCTCATCTCAGAGTATTCAGTGCTTATGAAGCCTCTTGATAGTGCGGCCTTTCAAATGCACCTGTTCATACTACAACCCTCCCCCCCCTCCTTCTACCAGTTAGTGCTGCTCCGAATACTTGGATCATGCTTTCTTTTCCATGCATAGGTCTATGTACCTCTCCCTCCCTCTCCTCTCCGTCGCTCTCTAGTCTCTCTCTCCGTTTGAATCGTTTCTGTGTTTTTTCGGAGACTCTGGCAGCTCGCCAGCTCTGCCCCTTCTGAGTGATGACATCATCAGCTGCCGGCAGGCCTGGGTGTTCTGCCAGTGTTCCGAAGCGTGTGTGATGGCTCGCTCGCAGATGTGTGTCCAGGAACACACTGTACCCAAATGCAGACTTAATCAGACCTGACTGCTCTCCCAGCTACTTTATCCAAAATAGAGAAAGAGGAGCAGTGGGGAGGAGGGGGGAGAGGGGGGCGAGGAGGGGGGGATCAGGGACTAAAAATGAAACTAAAACAGAAACAGAAACCTCAGTTGGAATATGTGTATAGACAAGGCGAGGTCCCTGTCCTCTCCGCCTGCCGCTCTCTCTGAGGATTGTTCAGGAATGACATACTGCTGACAGATGAGAGGAAACTGCTTCTTTAAACTTCACCTGAGTCGTCCCTTTATACCCTCTGCATAACCCTAAACACGCATATTGTCTTGCATTACTCGTAGACCTTCGACAGCACGCTTTGATTTTCAATTCGCAGTGACATCCACAACAGCAGCACCTTTAACCTAATTTGAATTTTTGCATAAACTCTCCCCATCCCAATGTGTCAACCCATAATACTACAAAAAAAAAAGAGATGTGGATCTCATTTCTTTGTCACTGTGTATTTCGGTATAGCAGCCTTAGATCCCGCTGGTTGCTAAGGAGCGAGTGCTCCACTGCTCTAATGGGCTGATTTGGTATTCAGCTCGATGCTGGCTCTTATTTTGGTATGCCAGACAAAGTGTTTTGATGGAGGACGATTGCAGCCGCGTCTGGAGACAGTTTGATGGTTTATGGATGAGAGCACACTCCGTGCCTTTGACTGCACAAGACAATGCACTATGTTCTCTTCTTCCCTTATCACACAATCTCACACAACACAACACACCACACTGGACAGCGTCACACAACATCAGGATCTACAACACTGTTCTAGTGTTACTCCTATATAAGACTACTCTCCACCAAGTTTTATTTTTGCTCCGTGTAACAAAATGCACCGTTCCAAAACAGTAACCAGTTTGTTTTCAAAAACTGTTGTTTTTAGAAATGAACAGATTGGGGCTTTTTTGTTATTTGTGTGCAGCACTGGGAACAGTGGCACAGTGTCTGTGTATAGAGGCATCGTAAGAGTTGAAAGAGGACCACATTTAGGCTGTAGCGCTCAGAGTTCCCAAAGCTTGTGGGTGTTTTAATGAGTCATTTTAACTTCATTTAAAGCCAGCTGAGCAGAAAATAGATCAGTGAATGAGCCCTGGGCCAGTATGGATCTGCAACCGATTTACATCTCTGTGAGAGCCAACCCACATCCAAACAGCTGTGTGTGTGCGCGTGTGTGTGTGTGTGTGTGTGTGTGTGTGAGAGAGAGAGAGTGAGAATGCGTGTCTGTGTGTGCATATCTGTCCTATGTGTCTGTCTGTGCAGGTGTGAGGTGAGTGCAGAACAAGGACTGAACATTTCTGCAAGCAGTATGCATACTTGTCTCTTTCATGTCTTCATCAGAATAGACAAGGGCATTCCAAAGGTGAACTGGGAACTGTAGTTACAGTGCATGCGATGGGATTTGGGGTGTTGACTCTGAAGTGTTTTTTTTTTTGATAAAGGGATGTGCCGCAGGCGGGAAGCGTCTGCTGTAGAGAGAACACCCAGTCCTTCTGTGGCCTCTCAGGCAGACAGTCTGCTCACTGTTCAGAGACTGATAACAGGGCACGGTAAATAAAACTCTTCAGCTCTGCTCTTTTTTGTCAAGAAGAAGGGCCGTTGCACCCTGTCTGGTGCTTTTGTTTGTCCTGAGTTGTGTTTTTATGGCGCTTTCCTCTGCTCCATTGTACTCCGCACATTTGCTTCCTTGTGTTAACACCTGAAAAGCACAAGTGTGAGACAAGCGGGGCTCTTTGGTGACTTTTGAAATAGGGCGTCTTTGTTTACTCCTTGTTGCTTTTTCCACAGTTCTCTTTAAATGCTGAATTAACTGACTTACTCTTCATCACAAACACACATTTGTGTTTACTGTCTGATCCAGATACCTTATTATAAATTTGATTTTATCTACAGCTCCTGCAGAGGCGCTGGTGTGTGATCAGTGTGGAGCAACATTCTCCTCAGAGGATGCTCTGGAAGCCCACAGGCAAACACACACAGGTACTTTACATACGTGTGCATGCATTAACACCCCCCTCCACACATACACTCATTATGTTTAACCTGGACAGCATGCACTGAGCTGTTGAGTAAGCCGTGACTACGGGACTTGTGATCGTGGGTCTAAACTTGCCTGTCATGCTGGCTGGGTTAAACTGTTCCTGTCATGATGCTCCATAATTTATCAACATGGAGGTGGGAGGCCCTCTCACATATCACCCACTAATATCTCTTGGCATCCAAACCCACTGCATGCCACTTTGCCACAGCCGTAGCTTCACAGCGCCAGCTTTACAGCTTCACGGACATACTATCCGCACCTTCCGCCCAAGAGTGCCTGTGGAATTATTTACCTGAAACTCACACACCCAGCGACAAGATGTTGTGTTTTTCAATCATCTCAAATTAAGAAAATGTTTGTATGACAGCCTTTTCTTGTCCAGTGAATGTCTGGCATTAACAGTTGGCAGCAGCGTGATTTGTTTTTTCTTTAAAGTAGTGTTTTTTAGCCAAGTGGCTACACAAACCTGGATGGTGACTTGCAATCTGGACTCCTAGCATTTAGAACAACCTGCCTGAGGAGCTGAAGTGGTTTTAACTTTTAAATCAATTCCTAACCACATTCTCAGATTTCTGTATTAGTAGTAGTAATAAGTAGAGGCAATCAAACTTAACGAATATGACACTCGTCAAAACATACAAAGTCACAAAGTGCTTTATAACAACAGGAGAAGGGAAACAAGAAGACAATATATAGAACAAATTAAATTAAGTGTATAAAATCTTAAATGGAAGCTATTCAGTCGAGAAAAAAGGAAAAAAAATGTTTCAAAAGTAGCCTTTTTTTGAGTCAGTATGTATCTAACTATCATATCTAACTGCATAACTACTTACTTTAGTAATTAACTACATTTCCTATCCTTTCAATTTTATAATCCTTTAAAGGATACCGGGACTCCCTAAAAACCTGGTACAGCAGGATGTAGCTGCGCACGCTTGGGCGAGCTGTGTGACCATCTTAGCCCATGCTCTGAGTGCACTTTCATACTTTAAATTATACCATGCATGCATTTAATTAGTCTGATTAATTAATTTGATTTGATGAAAATGAGGAAGTTGGATGAGTGGCCAAGTATGGACCAGTTTTTTATTTCTAAAGCTTGGAAAATTAGGCAAATTAGACAGAATAATACATGCATACAATATGAGATAGTTTTTTGATGCATGTCAGAATATATTATTCCTTTAATTTATATGTTTGGCCTTGCACCTATATACATGGAAAATGATAGTATGGCTTGTAAGCTTGTTTGCATCTATTGATGCCAGAATATAGACCTCCCCATCTCAGTAGATTTTTATTGTTGGGCATAATTCAGTCCATCTAAATGTCAGTATATTTTAGCACTTTTTAATTCACATATTCTCCAGTATAATGTTATTATGGTCAATTTGAGAATTTATCAGCAGTCAGGTTACCAGCAGGCAAACAGTACATGGCGCCATCCCTCCAAACCAACTGGGCTTGCAGATCATTTGTACCTGTTGCACTGTTAAACACACTGTGAACAAAAATAGCTGAAGCTCTGTGTGTGAGGATGCTGCACTTTAACGACATGTGGTAAATAGGTCCATCATAATGGTGAGTTGATCTGTTGTTGATGTTTGTGTTTTTGATGCTGTCGTCATTATATGTAATTATATTTTATTTTATTACTGTACAGTACACCATGAATTTCCAAAAGGACTAATAAATATCTATGGATCTAAAAGTCATTGAAAATCTGCAAGGAAGTCCAGTCATGGTTGCAGCCCTGCCAAAAATCTAAGCGTATCTAAATCAATGATCACAAAAAATGTAAAAAATCATCTTTGTGTCAAGTTACAGTTAGGCATGAGGTCTCCTGCAGGTTTAATTTTGTGGTTACGGCAAAGATTAAGTTAATAAACAACTTTGTAGGTCACGGTTTTGCTCGCTTATCCAACAAAGGACGAGATGACCCAATGTGACACTCTGTGTGATGCAGGATGTGAAGCACCGCCCACAGGTGAAATACTGGACCATGTTTTTAGGGAGTTCTGAAACACAACACACACAGACTTTAACCTAAGATACATAAACATAATAATTAAAATATGTAAAATAAATGCTAAATCTCACCACACAAGCTGCACATTTATTTTATTTTACCTTGATTTAACCAGATAAGTCAACAGTTCTCATTGTCAGTGATGACCTGGCCAAGAGGCAGCGACGGGAGGCAAGTTTATACAAAACATTTAAACATAGATGCAGCTGGTGCAATAAAAATAAATAACTAAGTAAATACAAGTACATGTTGCAGTTGCCAGACTCTGTGCCTTTTGGCATTTTTGGTTGGTGTTTATTCCCTGCTGGCATGGCTTGCTTTGTGTTTTTAGCTCTTTGATGAATCAGAAAGGAATGCTCCTATGATTTGTTTGACCCCTGTCCCTTTCTGAAAATAATCTGAGTGCATAAAACATTTAATGACTTACAATATCATTTATAGCTCAAGGCTGGTTGGTTTATTTTAAAGTAGTTAATCAATTATTGTATTAACTCTAATGGTAATTGAGTGAAGCCAAATGTGCTGCTGCTGCTGCTGCCAGCCTCTAATGTCTGTATTGACTGTTTTTTTTTTAGTCTTCTTTGATATTAAAATGAAAATCTTAGGGTTCTTTAGACATTGGGAAATTATGATTGTCCAACATTATTATATATATAGCAGATTGATTATCAAGAAAACAGTCAGCAGATTGGTTGACAATGAAAACAATGGTTAGTTGCAGCCTTATTTTAAAGAGGACATAAATCAAAACTATGAACCCCATTTTTCCACAATAATAATGATCAGTCAGATATGAAGCTGGTGAGTTGTAAAGCATTGATAACTAGTTTATTGCCATTATACACAACCTATAAAGCCTTTACAAGAGTGCCTTGTAGCAAAGTGGCACTCTACTCTCAAATATTATCCCATTAGCTTGAAGTGAGAAATACTTAACAACACTTGTTTGACTCAAAACTCTCCAACTGAGAAAAAAAAAGCAACATTGTTGTCAGGCAATACATATGCCCAGTAGTGTCTAAATCCACACCTTTTCTGCTACTGTCAGAGAAAGGTGATAACCCTCTCAGGAGCACTGGCATGTAACTGTAACTCCAGGTGGCACACACAGTATGAATACTTAATGGATGTGGACATGGAGGGGTGTTAACGATGCCCAGAAGTTTCTACCCTCATCTCCCCAAGTTGTAAACATCCACAGCTCAGTTTCAGCTTGGCAGTGTATCCAGAGCAGGGTACGGGAGGGCATTACTCTCTCATTTTGTCGTGATCTCAGCTCGGTCTGCTGTGACGCATGGCCCTTTTTTTTACTGACTCTTATTGTAGCTCTCGTAGCCGACGCCGACGTGAGCTACAGGTAATTTAATCAGCTGTGTTGAGGATATGCCTCGTGAAAAAACGCATTTAGTACATATAACCTGGGTTTTATTCCTGGTAAAACACTGTATCTTTCTGTGCCGATTGTGCCGCCTCTGCCTTAATTTGCCATGTGGCATAACCAGTGAGCCAAATGAGTTTCCTCTTAGCAGATTAACACTTGTCAGACCTCAGCAGCTGCAACACTGCTGTCCACCTCCTCTGGAAGGGAAATAATACTACTTTTGGGAGACCTTGCTCTGAAACAATTTGGCAACACTGGCTACAGTGAGAGTCTCTTAAGCTATTTTGATATGTCAGAGGTGAATGGCCGTGGGTTGCTGAAGTTAGAGATCAAAGAGGGGGTGGGGGTTGGGGGCGGAGTGGACTGTGGGAAGGGAAGGGGGTAGGGGGCATGTGAGGACTTCCTGAGGGCAAGAGGATTGCTGCTGGTGTTGGATGCCAGGACTGAGAGGAAAACAACATCATGTGCTGCTGTTTACTCCTCACCACAGCACTGTCATAGTCTCCTCTGACCTACTTGTCAGTGCCCAAAATAAAAGAATGGATCTGTCTCCGAATTGCTCTCACAACAAAGGGGTTTGTTTCATCAGAGCAAGTCAAGGGCTCTGGGGCACCGAGCTCTCAATTTTGGAAAACCCAAGACTGTAGCTTATCTGCAGCACGCACAGAAATTGACTGTATATGCTGCAAGCCATGCTGGCTGACCATTTTGCCACCTTGGCTTCAAGGCAAAGGCCATAAGAGTGCTGCCTTTGTGTACTCACAGCAGCTGCACTGTTTCCACACATTACAGGCTGCTTCATCAAGTGAATAATATTACCTTCTGTCCGAGCCCTAATTAAACAGTCCTGTGGTTCATTCAGATACAGCCCAGGCTTTATAATGCAGACCTTTTAGCTCGCCTAATTGTGTATCCGTCATCATACTGCACCCTCCTCTTAATACCCAGTTGAAATTCATGCAAGCCTTAAACTGAATTGAACTCTTGCTCTGTTTGGCCACTCTGCCCCCAGTATTTATTTGCACTGACTGTCATGATACGAAGAGCCCCGGGATGCCCTGTCATTTCACATAAAGCGAAATGTAGTCGATAGAGACAATATTGTAAACGTTCTAGGAATTGAGGCAAATGAAACCGCGTGTGACCTTAATGAACCGATCCATGGAATGGTGGTTAAACACGAGCAACGTATCTCTTGTTGCATTAATTATTAAGTCGGTTGTTCCTCACTCGGGTAGATTAGCAGTCTGCTGATGAGCGCCCGGGGTTGTTTAAGGTAGTGTAGCATTTGTGCATGTGCTTCTCGAGCTGCCACAGCTACAGGGAGCTGTCTGCATGAACGCATACAGTAGCGTGTCACGTGAGGTCTAGCACATAATGTAGCCTGCCTGTAGCCTGACTGTGTATGTTTAACTGGATGATATCAGTGAGCCAGCAGACGGTGAGCACACTGTATATACACTGAGCAGGGCCTGAGGACATAGTTTATAGTGGACATGATCAGTCATGATGTAATAATGTAAATTGTGAAATCTGTGTGGAATTCTTTGGCCTTTTGGTGGCAGCAGGAGATTTGTTTAGCTTTGACTTGGCTGTCATTCACAATTTACCCAAACAAATAACATTAATAGATGCAATTCTGCAGGCATTTAATAAAATAATGCAGCTCAAATTAAATGTCTTGTAGCCATATATTTCAGCAAATATAAAAGACAAATTATCCACAAATCAATCAGTTTAATTGCTGGGCTCCGGACACTGAAGTTAGGATTAACACTGAAGAAATTATACAGATTTGCGGTCGTCACTGAATACAATCTCTTGTTCAATTTGCAGTGGGTTTACTCCCAGATTCTCAGGGTGGGAAAACTTTTGTTTGCTGCTTGAAAAGAAACAGGCTGCGCTTATTTGTGAATGAAGGGATTAGCTTGAACACTTCACCCCAACAAGGACCATGATCCTATCTGGTTGCCTAGACACATGGTTTTGTTTCTTAGGCAGCGTGAGAGCGTGGCTGGCTCCCACCTCGCTTGGACTGAATAAGTGGCAGATGTATGAAGGCAGACCATGTTAAATCACATGAGCATACACATGGTCTTAGTGGAGATATGCTGAAATAGCATAGCAACCTCAAACCGGCCTGAATTACTAACTGAATTGTGCATTAGACAAGCAGCTCAGTGATATAATGCATACAGTAAATGTTTATATTTTCTGCCTTGTACCAGACTGGCTTAAAGGTAAATCATTATTCCCACTGTTGAGGCTTCCTCCCACTAAACACAATGCTCAGTCAACTCTCCAGCCTTTGAGGGAATACCATTGATTACATGGTATTTACCCCATTGAGGGCCAAGGGTCAGGGGTCATCCTGTGCCTTAAAGCCCAAATCCTGAGCCCATTGTCTGGTTAAGGGTGAGAAAGCAGGGGGCAATGACAGCCAACTTTAGGGCTTATTCTCTCATAAAGAAGCTCCTCTGCACTTATTACCAAAGCTTACTGGAAAAACTCTACAACTGCAAATCCTTTTTCTTTGAAAAGTTAACAGAGCGCAGCGAGGCGAAATGCCACCACTAACACATACAAACACTTCCTTGCCTCCGAAAGGTTTTTGTTTACACTTCAAGATATTATTTGTTATTTTTATTTTCAGCGTCGCTTGCGCAGAATCAAACCGAAAGCGACTGCTGAGCTGTTGTCACCGCGTGTCAGCCTGAGATCAAGAGTGAGATTCCTGTGACAGATTATTTGTCATATTTCTTTACTCAAGTTTCAGTATTGTTGGTGACAGAAGGATCAGGATATACATCTGTGAGAGTCTGCGAGTGTGTCAGGGAGTAACGGTTTAACCTCCACAAAGAAAGTGGGATGTTAAACTTTCAGAGCAGGCGGAACAAAGTACACACGGCTGCACTGAAACACGCATTTACAATATATGATAGTTAATAAAGAGAGAGGGGAGAGGATGATTAAAGTAGCTTTGAAGTATCTACAAGGTGGTTAATATGTTATTCAGCTGGTTGAGGGCTCTGCTGTGCTCAGCCTGCAGCGAAACTATCCTGGACCCATAGGAACAGAAAGCGCTCCCCCTGCTGACTAAAGCAAATACTACGACACAAACTGGTGAAAGTGGATCAAGGCTTCACATCACAGGTCACGCAGAGACTGCATTTTGTGCTTTTTAAATGCCTTTAGCTGTTTTTACATAGATCATTATCCCAACTCGGCTGTAACACAGTGCAAAGTGAACTGGTAATAGTTAGGTATGACTCAGGCAAAAAGTGAAGCTGGTTAGACAGTCAAAGGATTTCCTGTATGGTCAGCAGATAAGGGGAGTGAGGAAGGCACAGAGGCGTTGAGAATGGAGGGTCTTTTGTCTTCAACAAAAATATTGTGATCCGTGGGTGAGAAAGGGCCTTGGTCATTAGGCGACAACATAAAGACAGGGATTGTAGGAGTTGCGTGAGGAGCCTATGACTAATGGGCTTGGTCAATGAGGGCCTGAACCTCATTGTGTGCCCTTTGTGCTACAGTCCACAGGCTAAAGCCTGTGAACAGGTGCAGTTCATTCCACTGGATCGCCTCCCTGCAGGATAGTTAAGATCAGGGAATGTCTTTCATCCTGTCTTCTTTCTGTTAATGATTACGAATGATCAGTTCTATTAGTGCTGTTTTTTCGGGGAGGGGGGGGTTTCAAAACAAGGTTCAAAAAGAAGCAGCATTAATTTCAAAGTCGAGGCTTTGCGCTTCTCTGCCAAATTATACTTATCCGTGAAATGTGAAGTCGAAAAAAAGCGTCTTGCTTTGTTTGAGCAAATTGTGATATGTGGATTAGTAAACAATACACGGTGAATGTTTCTGATTTATCCCAGAAAATGTGAATTTGCTTGATTTGTTTCCTTTTTCTTTCTACTTTGAACAGGCTTGCCTGTTAACTTGATTGAACCTAAAGCAAGTGTCTGACACTCTTCCCTCTTAGTATGAGTGTGCTGTATCCCTTTCCCTGCGTTAATTCCAATTTAATTGCCAGTTGCCTCAAGGCACTTCAATAACAGTAACAAATGATTTGATTTAGTGGACCTCATCAGACTGCATTTTAAATGCGACACAGCAACCCCACTTGAATTCCAATGAAGTGCTGGCACAGTCCTCTGTTTACTAATGATCCTCCGCTGGAGATGTCTGATTGAATCTGAGTCAGGAGCAATGGGACCTGCTCGCATTGTAAATGATCTGCAACCTGAGCAGACAGAGAAATAAGGACCTCATAATCTCACATTAAAGCCTCACTCTCCAGGACATGCACATTATGTCCAATGCAGCTGATTAACCAGTCCCTCAGTCTTACCGCATATATGAATTTGCATCGGTTGGAATGCCAGAACGGATTTGAGTGCTGGCGTACACAGCCTGTAGATCAAGTGTTGACTGTATGACAGCCAATGGATCTTCTTCACATAGCCATTTTGACTTGAGCTACCCTGCCAGCGACTCCCTATCTGTATTCCTCTCCACACTCTGTGCAACAGGAAAGCAGCCCCAAAGAGATGCCAGGTCACACACAGGATTAAACTGGATTGTGTTTTTTCCTGCAGTCCTGCCTTTAATGGCTTGATATCACTACTTAACATTCTGCACAGAGCGCATAGTGTAGGCATCATTTAGGGTGGAGCTACTATCAGCCGCTCTTTGAGCACAGAGACAGAGGACTTCACAGGCTGGAGCTGACTCCTGATGGGGAATGAAGAGAATAATTACACATCTAACACACCAGGAAGGAGCCATTGATTGTGTGATTGGCATGCTGTGCATTGTGTGGGAAATTCTTAAAGAAAACAATGACTTTCATGGTTTAAAATAGAACGTATAAAGACTCGCAGTTGAAAGTGCCTCTGGGCTTTTAGGGGAGTTAGTTTAGGTAGAGGCACTTGCTCTTTGAAAGAAGCTTTTCCCTCTGAGGACTCACACAAAGTTGAAGTGACCCAGTTTCCCCACTTAAGGCCCTGTCTGTGTATGGTACTGAAATAACTGTGTGTCTGTGTCTTGTGCGTTCTCCAGGGACTGACATGGCGGTGTTCTGTCTGCTGTGTGCAAAGCGCTTCCAGACCCAGAAGGCCCTGCAGCAGCACATGGAGGTCCATGCAGGCATGCACAGCTACATCTGTAGCCACTGTGAGCGCCCCTTCCCCAGCCACACTACCCTCAAAAGACACTTGCGCTCGCACACTGGTAAGAGACGGATCGCTGTCTGTAGTGTTATCTCCTGTGGTAAAACATAAGCATGGGGTGTCAAATGCATGCATATGTTGAAAGGCAGACAAAGACGGCTGTATTTATTTCTGTATATGGGTTAATTTCCTTAGGTTACTGGCTTTAAGGTTTTAGTCAATTTGCATGCATCCTCTCCCACCCTCCTTTTCACTTCTCTATAAGATGACTCACCTCTCTGATGACAGCACTGTACCGTTATGGCCGGTGCATATTTTGGGCAATTTCATCCTGTTTATATTTTGGGTTCTTAGACAGCCTTTGGGCTTCTGCAATTCACGGCTGTCAGTTCTAGTGTGGTTCACCCAAAATGATAGAGGAAACCCAAATATATATTGAAGGAAAAGCAAATGGAAATGACTTGTCTGTGTGTTCTACCGAGGGTGAGTCTTAGTGCCGCAGGAGACGGAGAGATATTTACTGAAAAGATGTCCCCCTTTCTTCTTTTACCTTAAATAACACTCCCAGCTGTCAGGATGGCTTGATGTCTAGACAGGAGAAATACATAATTGATGTGAAGAGACAGAAGTGAAGGGAGATTTGGCCATGGCAGCGTATCTTGTTTGTATGCCATTCTGCTTGGAAGTAACATTTTGTAAATGTCATCTGCTCCACAGTGGGGTGGGGGATTGGGGAGAATCGGCCTGTAATGAGGAGAGCAATGTATCCTCTGACTTGGCTGTTGCTGTGGACACTGAGATAATGAGGCACATAGGTCATTGGAGATGAGTCAAACCCTCAGCCTATGAGAGAAATAGATTAACTACAGTATAGAGAACAGAGCAGTACATGCCTGGAGGACTTTTATTAGCTATTAGCAGACAGCCAAGAGGAGTGTGTCCTCATGTCATAACATTAGCAACGTCTGAAAGCACATTATTTCCCTGCTTGATATGCATGTGCAGCGAGGGCTCTGTGACTATTTGACCTACACAGCTACATATGCACCCATAGCATGTCGTGCCAAGGATAAAGTTAGCCTTTAATGCTTCGCACGGTAATGGGCTGTGTTGGTGTTGTGACATGACTGTGCTTTCAGGCGATCACCCGTTTGAGTGTGAATTCTGCGGGAGCTGTTTCAGAGACGACGGCACGCTGAGGGGCCATAAACGCATCCACACAGGAGAGAAGCCTTACGAGTGCAACGGCTGTGGGAAGAGGTTCAGCCTCAAACACCAGCTAGAAACACACTACCGTGTACATACAGGTGAGAGTTCAGAGATGAAAACACAATCGTACAGGCAGGAGCGCTGGGCCTTCAGGGTATTTTAGTTCAGCTAGGGGGGATTTTTTACTGTTACTTAATATCTTTAAATTCAAAAGGATAAGCCTTGTGATATTTTTTTGTGTAAAAAAAATCCCATAAATAGACCTAAACCCAACAAGAAATTGATCTTACTGACAAATGTGTGTAGCTTATTCCTCCAAAACACATAAGGAAGCCACACTGTTGCACTGCGTGACATGTTGCCTTCATTATGATGAACACAGCCACTCAAGTTTTTTTGACTCAATGCAACATACACTGTCCTGCTGTGTAAGTCACTGTGACATAGCACTAGCAGCATTTATTTCCAGGTTAACCCCTGGCATTTGATTTGAATTGCTGAAATATGTGATATCAGCAAACTTGTTCATTTCTGTTATCATTTTCAGTCGTAACTGTAACATTTAAAGATATATAGTTAAACACAGTGGTCCGACCTGACATTTCTGCCGTGATTATTTAATGTACTATGTTGCTTCGTTAGCGTCAGAAGTTAAGTAGTGTCCGCTGTGGACAGGGGCTGCAGCAAAACGTATTTTAGACACCTAAAAAAATCAATATCAGTTTTAGTGTACGCTATATTTGGAATATTTTTATCACTGATCACGGCAGCGGTAGACCAGAAACTTGTGTGTTCTTCAAAGTAAAATTACTGTCTGGTTGGTTTGAGATAACAGCTTTCATTTCCCATTGTAGAGGGTCGTCTGACGCCAAGGAAGAGCAGTGAAAATAGTCAAAAAATGAGCCAACTTTGCTCAACTCTGTTTCATTTTATTTAAGTGTGTGTTAATGTACATTACAATTTGGTCTATACTCATGTAATGTGAATTAATAGGCAGCTGAAAATGTATTTTTCCTTTTTGAGTAAAGTTTGCAAAAAACTATAGGAGAAAATTACATAGGTTTTTTGAAAAATTTGTAATAATATATTTTTGACCTGTTTTTAAAGATTAATGTCGTCTCTCAGAACAAACTGGCTGTGGGCTGATTGCCACAGACAGGGTAGAGAAGTCAGAAAATATTGAACATTTATGGTTTGGGGTCTTTTGACAATAAGAAAAATACAGAATAATGCTAGTTTTTGTTTTGTTGTTTAACAATTCTTATAGCTAAAATGAGTGTGTATTGCAGAAGTAAAATATGGCACTGAAAAATTCTTTAGAAATTGTGACACATAACAGAAAATCCTAACCACTAAATTTTGATGGTTTAGCAGCTTGTAAATCAATTTAATGGAAGAGGAAACTTACTCAGAGCCTTAAAACTGAATTACTTTATATAAAAAACACTGTAGCACTATTGAATGGCATCATTAAGATGTGCAACAGGTTTAAATTTAATTTCAGGTTACATTTTACTGACTGCTACCTGACTCCTCGCTGAGGTCAAAAAGAAACCTCTGTCGTATTTGCAGTGGATGACGCTGACTGGCCAATATCTAATAGGCAAACCGATATAGGTCTAATCCTAGAGCACAGACACACAGCACGCACACAAACACCACACAATACCACGTCAGGTACAGTGGACTGAAATAGAGGTGAGTCCCATTTCACCTGGCAGGCCCTCTGGCTCCAGGTCTACAAGGTTAATGCTGTATTCTTGAATTTTTCAGGTGAGAAGCCATTCGAGTGTAAGCTGTGTCACCAACGGTCCAGAGACTACTCAGCTATGATCAAGCACCTGCGCACTCACAACGGAGCGTCTCCGTACCAGTGCACCATCTGCCAGGACTTCTGCCCGAGCCTGGCCGCCATGCAGAAGCACATGAAGGGCCACAAACCGGAGGATGTGCCGGCGGACTGGAGGATAGAAAAGACTTACCTGTACGTCTGTTACGTCTGAGCAGGACTTGGACCCCCACGCACACACACTGTCACTGTTGGGTGAAAATCTCGTAACTCCAGTGTTGCTGTTTTTTCATGCTGAAAGATTACATGTCTCTCTATGGGTTTAAAAAAAAAAAAAAAGAAAAAAAAAAGTCAGACTCTTTTTGGATAAACTGAAAAAAGCATTGTGGGAAGTTGTCATTCTGGGAGATACAAGGTTTTTACCTGACAACAGAGACATGCAAGCACGAATACAAATTTGTGGTCACACTAGGGCTGCAACTCGTGATGAGTTTCAATATCAGTTAGATTATTTTTACTACTAAGTGAGAAAATATTAAGCCTGAAAAATGTCAGAAAAGTTTTCACATGTAGTTACAGCCAGTAACTAACAATCCAGTCGGAAAAGATTCAGTTTACAACGATATAAAACTGAGAAAAGCAGCAAATTCTCACATTTTAAGAAGCAAGAAACTATGAATATTTAGCATTTTGCCCCTGAAAAACAAGTAAAACCCTGTTTGCATGGGACTAGTGTTACCTGAGGACCTCATGTGACTGAGAAATTACCCGTCTACATCTGTGTTTCCTGCAGCACGTTCACACGGGATAAGCAAAGTCTGTATTTAACCTGAATTTACCGACATAATCCCACAGTTATGATGCGCACTGTCATTTGTAACTCCACTCTACACTACACAGAAACACCACACAGCACCAGTCGTGTTAAACTCCCTTTTTTGTAATGTAGGTCAGACAAACCGAACCGATACTGCCACACATTGTCACAAGTCATCCATCTCATCATCTTTTCAGATTTGGCTCTAATGATAGATTTGAGCTTTCTTCAAACGGGTCTCCATGCTGTAGCGAGATGAGCCTGATGCACCTAAATGCCGTCAAAACTTCATTTGTAACTGCCAACTCAGTCTCTGAATTTTCAACCAGGAAAAAGGAAGAAACTAAGCAAGCAAACCTAAATATGACCCCAAATCGCATGGGATTAATATTGTGTTTGGCAAAATGTACAGTATATGGTAATATGGTAGGTAATTTGCCATTATTACATATTACCAGATGTCCCCCAGGTAATGCTAGTCCCATGCGAACAGGCCTTTAGTCCCAAAACTGTCGGCAATAAGTTTCCCGCCGACTTAAGGTTTCAGCCCTAGTGCACACAAACACACACAGACACACTCTCTCCCTCCCTCACACATACAGTTATGATAATAACTGTGTCTCTAATGGAAGCACTGTGGTTCAAATCAAAGCCACAGCGGCTGCGACTGCTGACCTGTACGTGTCGTAGGAGCTTTTTGATTGATTGATTGCTAAACCACCAAGCAACCCGAGTCATCTTCTATGATTGTGCAGTAGATGTTGAAAATAATTCCACGAAGGCTTGATTGGCTGAACTCTGCAACATTTTCTCTCCCCTAAATTCCTGTGACTTTTTTTTTTTGTTCTGCTGTTGGAATTTATTTTGGAGTTTATTTTCTGCATGTTTTACTTGAATGGCTGCCACGTTTTGACCTCATAAGCTTGATCTCTTTAATTGCCTTGTCTTTCTTGCAGTGGGTGTTATTGTTTCGAGGTAGCTGGCTTACAATTTGAGTTTCTCTCGCAATGTAATAGGTTTTGCTATTTATATGTTGTTTATTTGTTACCAAATATGTGCTGGTTTTCATCACACAGTCGGCGTCTCTTGGGATGATTTCTAGTAGAGCGAGCTCTACCTCTCCTCACTTTTAAACCTACTGCAAATTATTCATTCATCAGTAGTTTTAATTTTCTAACAGATACATCATAATTTAAATGGACAAGCAGTGTGTAAAAAAAAACAGCCTCAACATGGCTTTTGTGTGTAGTTTTTTATCAGTAACTATATATAGATGTCTTATAAAATCACAGAATCAGAATTTTCTAGGAGAAAATTGAAGAAAACATGAGAAGAAGTCGTTGATTTTCCTTTCTTTCTTTCTTTCTTTTTTTTTTTTTTTTTACGAAACCTGAAAAGAAAATTCTGACATTGAATCACTATGAGCAGGTTATTGTCAGTTGTAGTGTAGCTGTAATGTACAAACTGTCATGGTATGTTATTCCCTTATGTGAGCCTAACACAGGCCTTATAGATTTAAACATGTTGTATTTTTGTATTACAGTAATTTGCTATCTGTTTACATTTGGTATGATTTGAGAAACATCTTAATGTGTGTTTTATAAGTCTCTGATATGATTAAGATCCCTCCCTTGTGCCTCTTTTATAAGTAGAGCATTGATGTGCTTGAGTACATGGGTCTGTGCTATTGGTAGTTGTTTCTGGGTGTTTGTTTATTGTTACTTAATTAAAGATAGACTGCCATGTAGATCCACTTTGTCTGAACATTGCAACTGGAAACAACATACTGTGATAGTGGCTGATACTCTGAGACAAGCGTGTACTTTTTACATCACAATTGCTTGGAACTTGCATCAAATTGTTCCTTCAAAGTGACAATGGACTGAGATCTTTGGATGAAAACAGTGTGAATAGCAAATCTTGGCGTCTGTGGGCATTACCAATGCCTTCTTAAGTAGCCAACAACACTCAGTGCCATGAAAACACACATTCACTGTATCTATTCTACATGAACATGCACTATAAATGGATTTCCTTGGTGGACCAAAAGAAACAGAGCACTTTTGTTTGAAAAGGTTTTTCTTTGATCTTTCTATGTTGTGATAATGCAGATGTCCTTTTATTTGATGTGTCCTAGAAGGATGTGATTAGCATTGTTTAGATTATGTCAATGTCTGTCTACCTCAGGGCCAGATCAAAGCTCGACCTGGTATCCAATCAGGGTTGTTCTTCTTGCCATGTGTGCAGTAAAATCCCTCTTCATTACAGCTTTGTAACACAGTGTGTGAAAGTGTTTTCTCAGTGTGGATTCAGGCACAACTCTGTATGCGTCAGTGTTCGGTGGCATGGTTAAAAAAAAAAAGAATAAAACAATTTACTATTTTATGCATCTTGTCTCATTTGCCTACTGTTTCTGCTGTCTACATTCATTACTGAAACTCTACATGGCAGTGGCCTTTTTATTCTGATTTACCCTCACAGCCCCTTACAAATTAAGTTAAATACAAAAAGATTCATTGCATGGAAAGTCACAAAAGTCATAGTATAATAAGTCACAAAAGTCATAATATACATCACAAAAAAGGTCAAGAAATTTCATTTTGAAATGTTAAAAAAGGTCACATTATATAGTATGTCTTAAAAAAAATGTCAAAGAGGTGACAGTATAGTATGTTACAAAAATTAATGAGTTGTGAAAATGTCGTGGTATAGTATGTATGCCATGGTATACAATTTCACAAAAAAAAAACTCAAAAAATGTTAAAATTAAAATTAATGTTAAAATTATTGTAAGCTATTTTAAAGAAAATAATTCAAGTTTCTATTAAAAAGTCAGTGAAGTATGTCACTAAAAAAAGAAATAAAATAAAAGAGATTTCATAAAAAATATTAGTATAGTATGCCCCAGAAATTCATAGTATAGTATGTTGCAGAAGATTTCTTTACAAATTTCCTCAAGAATAAAAATTCATAGTACAGTATGTCTCTAAAACAGAATGTCAGAGTATGCCACATAAATTTCAATGTAGTAGCCTATGTCAAATGTCAAAAAACAGTAATAGTATAGCATGTCATAAAAAATGTCAAAAAACAGTAATAGTATAGCATGTCATAAAAAATGTCAGAAAAACAGTCATAGTATAGCATGTCATAAAAAATGTCAGAAAAACAGAGTATAGCATGTCATAAAAAATGTCAGAAAAACAGTCATAGTATAGCATGTCATAAAAATGTCAGAAAAACAGTAATAGTATAGCATGTCATAGAAATTGTCACAAAAACAGTCATAGTATAGCATGTCATAAAAAATGTCAGAAAACAGTCATAGTATAGCATGTCATAAAAAATGTCAGAAAAACAGTCATAGTATAGCATGTCATAAAAAATGTCGGAAAAACAGTCATAGTATAGCATCTCAAAAAAAATGTCGGAAAAACAGTCATAGTATAGCATGTCATAAAAATGTCAGAAAAACAGTAATAGTATAGCATGTCATAAAAAACGTCGGAAAAACAGTCATAGTATAGCATGTCATAAAAAATGTCGGAAAAACAGTAATAGTATAGCATGTCATAAAAAATGTCAGAAAAACAGTCATAGTATAGCATGTCATAAAAAGTATAGCATGTCATAAAAAATGTTGGAAAAACAGTCATAATATAGCATGTCATAAAAAAAATGTCAAAAAACAGCATGTCATGAAAAATGTCATAAAAACAGTAATAATATAGCATGTCAGAAAAAATGTCAGAAAAACAGTCATAATATAGCATGTCAGAAAAAATGTCAGAAAAACAGTCATAATATAGCATGTCATAAAAAAATGTCAAAAAAACAGTCATAGTATAGCATGTCATAAAAAATGTCAAAAAAAAAAACAGTAATAGTATAGCATGCATAAAAATGTAAAAAAAAAACAGTCATAGTATAGCATGTCATAAAAAATGTAAAAAAAAAAAAAACAGTCATAGTATAGCATGTCATAAAAATGTCAGAAAAGCAGTAATAGTATAGCATGTCATAGAAATTGTCAGAAAAACATCATGGTATACTGTCACAAAATGTTTCATGCAAAATATCATGATAAAATGTCATTGTATACTATGTTAGAAAAAAAATCATTCTATAGTATGACAAAAAAAATCACAAAAAAGTCAGAAAAAAGTCACAGCATATTACGTAACAAAAAATCATGACAAATTTCATTAAAATGCCATAGTATAGTATGTCACATAAATTTCATAATATAGTATGTTGCAAAAGATTTCATACAAAATTTCATCAAGAAATGTCATAGCATACTTTTCCATTAAAATGTCAGAAAAAAAGTCATAGTATAGTATGTCATAAAAGAATATCAAAAAAGTCATAGTATAGTATGTTACAAAAAAAAATCTTTGAGAAAATTTTTGTAAAAATAATATGCCATAGTATAGTATGTCCTAAAATATTTCATACAAAATTTCATCTACAAAATTAAAAGTATAGTTTGTCACAGAAATACTGTGGTATACTATCTTTATTACTTTTAAATGTCATTGTGAAGTTTGACCAAAAAAAAAAAAAAAAAAGAGTAAAAAAAACGTGGCACAAAAATACCATGGTATATTATGTGGCTGAAAAAAACATCATAGGGAATGTCATAGTATAGTATGTTGCAAAGATTTCATTAAAAATGTCACAGTAGAGCATGTCATAAAAGGCTACAAAAGTCATAGTAAAGTATTTTGCAAAAAAAGCATTAGAAATTTCTATATATTCACATAAATTTCAAAATAAATATTGTTGCAAAGGTTTTCATACAAAATATTACAGTATATTATGTCATAAAAATGTCATAAAAAGTCATTGCATAGTATGTTACAAAAAATGAATGTGAAATTTAATTAAAAAATGATATTATAGTATGTCACATAAATATTATAGTATAATATATATCAAAATAATTCATTGAAAATTGTGTTTAAATAATCCAAAAAATACCATGGTTTACAATGTCCGAAAAAGATTTCATACAATTTCATTAAAACATGTCATGCCATAAAAAAAAAAATGTTAAAAAAATAAAAGAAAAAAAGTCATACTGACAAACAGTGTCATGAAAAATATCACAGTATAGTATGTCACATACATATAGTATGTTGCGAAAAAATTCATACTAGCATACTATGTTACAAAAAGTGTCAGAGGAAAATTCACAATAATGTTTCACTAAAAAAAACATTATAGTATGTCAAAAAATGTAAAAAAAAAAAAAAAGTAGTCACAGTATGTAGTACACTGCAAAAAAAACATTGTATAGTATGTCACATACATAATATAGTATGTTGCAAAAGATTTCATACAAAATTTCATAAAATTTGTCATAGTATACTATGTCATAAATGTCAGGGGAAAAACGTCATACCATAGTATGTCCAAAAAATGTCATGAAAAATGACATACTATAATATGTTACATACATTTCATAATCTAGTATGTGGCAAAAGATTGTACATGAAATTTCACAAAAAAGCATACCATATCATAAAAATGTCAGAAAAAAAATCAAGGTATGGTATGTCACAAAAATACCATGGTACACTATGTCATAAAATGTGGTATGTCGTAAAAATGTCAAAAAAGTCATTGTATAGTATGTAATGAAAAAAAAAAAATGAAAAAAAAAAATGTTTAGTTAGACTACCTGCTCTGCCTCATTAATAAAAAGTTTTAACAACATGTGCTGTTCATTTTTACACTGGGCAACAACCAGGTAGTTTTTAAATTTTTACTTGTGTCATAATTTTACTTTTACTTGAATATTTAAGGATAGTATTTCACAAAAAATGTCATAAGTCATAGTATAGTATCTATGAACAGGTCAGTATAGTATGTTGCAAAAAGTTTAATAAGAAATTGCACAAAAATGTTAGTATAGTCTGTCTATGTCTAAATAAATGTAGAAAAGTCATAAAATATATAATATGTCAAAAATGAATTTGACTGAATATTTTAATTAAACATGTCAGTGTTGTATGTCCCAAAAGGACTGATAATACATTTCATGAAAATATCATAGTATAATATGACAAAAAAAAAAAATCATGGAAAAGTCATAGTTTTATTATAAAAACATAAAAGTTAAAAACATAAAAGCAATATAATAAAAATATACATAATAAGTTTCATTAACAAAATCATAATATAATATTCCACAAAAATGCCATTGTGCAAAATGTTATAAAAAAAAAACATGGCATACTATGTGGATAAATTATGTTAAAAAAAATTCATACTGAAGTATGACACAAAAAAATGTTGTGAAAAATGTCATAGTATAGTATGTCCCATACGTTTCATAATATGGTATGTGGCAAATAAATAGTGATGTCGCAAAATATGTCATACCAAATTCCAAAAAAATGTCATAGTACACAATGTCAGGACAAAAAACGTCATACTATAGTATGTTGCATACATTTCATAATATAGTATGTGGCAAAAGATTTCATATGAAATTTCACAAAAAAATGTCATAGTACACTATGCCAGAAAAAAATAGAATAGCATGTCATTAAAAAAAGGTATATCATATGTTACAAAAAATGTCATAATATAATATGCCAAGGTGGACTATGTCAGAAAAATAAACGTAAAAAAACAAACAAACATAAAATTTTAAATTAAAAAAGGTCAGTTATGCATCTCACAATTCATTAAGACAATTCATGAATTAAAGTCATAGTATAGTATGTCACAAAAATGTTATTCAGAATTTATTTAAAAAGTCATAGCACGTGTCAACAAATGTGTGGTCCCAACCTGAACATTTCACTTTCACATTGCTGCCTTAGCGCTGCCCAGCATCTGGACAAAGACAATGCTGCTGATCCCTCTTAACAGTTTATTGGCTCCTGCCACAAACCTTCACAGTCTCAAGCTGTTTATAGAGTTTATGTGTCATCTGGGCGACTTGCAAACAGCTGGAGTCACTCCAGGCTCTGTGGTGACCTCTGATGGCACTTCGCCAGAGCCACAGCTGGCCCCCGTTTTATCCCAGATGTGAAGGGCACTAAGAATCAGTACATCAGGTCTGCCACTGCTCTCTGCACAGCACAGTGAAAGTGAGACCTCTTATTAATTACAAGCACTGGCACCTTTTACTGTACATTTGATGTTGAGTTTTTATGTTCGCCTGATGCCTTTGGGATTTCACAGGTTATCGTGCTGGTGCAGTGTGTTCCTTTGGTTCCCTTTTCTATCGCCTTCACTGTACCATAAAGTAGCCTCTGAGTGTGCTGTGAATGTTTTCTTGTGTAATGTATTTGCTAGCTATATTACTTAAACCCCTTTAGCAAGTCTGAATTCCAGCCTGCAGTGTTTACAGTTTCTCTCTACAGAGA